GTAAATATACACATACATATGCAAAATATATAAATATATATACATAGATGCATACACATACATGTATATTTTTTTAATAAAAAATTCCAAGAGGATAGAATCCAGGTAGAACTCAATGTCCAGGACAGAGTAAGGATATAATAAAAAGGCTTAAACACTAATTAGTGTTTAAGCCTTTTTTATATATATATATATATATATATATATATATATATATATAACAATAAACACCTACACGTATCATTTGATTATAGTGGTGATGTCTTGTGCAAAACCACCCTCACATTTTAGAAGGGCCGAATATAGAAAATTGCTGCACAATCCTCCCATCTAGACCGGTTGCAACCCAAAGCTATAGAACCCAGTTTGTACTGCCATTTACCCATACTTGGGGCGGGGGAGGATTCCTACCTTTCCCAAGGGTATGAGCATATAAATGAATATAATGGATTCGACTGGAATTTAAACTGTCCGATTCCTCCATCTGAGCCTCTATCCATTTCTCTACCGTGCCTGCTCTCCTCTCTCTCTCTCTCCCTCTCTCTCTCTCTCTCTCTCTCTCTATATATATATATATATATATATATATATATATATATATATATATTTTCATTGTTTTGAAACCGGTAAGGTTTGACGAAGCGAAATCGAATTTATCGGTCTCATGAAATAAAATATTACCATGGCTTTCTTAATTCTCCGATTTGTGAATTTATTATTACTTACTCTATCAACTACATTGAGCTGTCTGGATTTATATCCTCCTGTAATTATCCGTACGGATTATCATTTAACTTTACTATATATATATATATATATATATATATATATATATATATATATATATATATATATATATATATTCAACGCTCAACTCTTTCGGTGTACTCACTCCCGATTTCCCACTTCGAACCGAGGCTCAATTGAGCGATTTGCACATAACCCCGTCATCGGTTCTGGGCATCATCTCCAAATTAGACCCCCACAAGGCTAGAGGTGGAGATGGGATACCAGCCATTGTTCTGAAGAAATGTGCGACTGAACTGTCCCCTGCCCTCTCCAAATTACATAACTACTGCCTCAATGAATCTTGTTTTCCACCCTGTTGGAAGTCCTCACCCGTTGTTCCTGTCTTTAAGAACTCTGGAGACCCTTCTGACCCTTCTAATTACCGTCCTATATATATATATATATATATATATATATATATATATATAGTTTAAAATTAGATGTATTTTTGGGAAACGAGGTTTGAATATCAGTATCAGAATGCAGATATACAAAAGTTGGACATAAGATCACCAATGCATAATGATTGTCTATTATAAATTACTGTGAAGTTGTTGGTTTGTTTGTCCTCCGCTCCTGAATTCTATGGGTAATTGAAAATATAACTAAAAATAAAAATATTCAATAGAAAACATTAATATATTTTTAAAAACAATTTGCAGTCATAACCTGCAGTCCCTTTCTTCTTCCTCTTACGTTCATGTCACAATTCTCATTCGTTAACCCTCTACCTTAAGTGGCTCTTTGGCCTTGAATTCATAAACATTATTAAAGCAAAAAATTATGTCAGTGGAGAATCATGATTGCCTACGCTCTGAAACGTCTTGGCATTAGAAAAATCAATTATAGAATTAAAAATATAAAAGTGTGACAATTTACCTACCGCCCCCTGCATATATATATATACATATATATATACATATATATATATATGTGTGTGTGTATGTGTGTGTGTGTGTGTGCAAAAAAGTTTGTCACTTAGCTAATTGATTTACATTCAGCATCCCTCTTCAAGGAGTCTCAGCAATTTAATGTATATGTGCGTGTTTGTGTGTGTGCGTGCGCGCGTGCGCGCGCTTGTATGTGTGTGTGTGCAAAAATTCAGATATATAAAGTATATTTATAAAAAGAGGTTTGGTTTATTTTGTTTAACGGCATATCAACCTCAATGGGTTATTTAATGCCGACAACATTTTTTATTGCTGGTAATATTTTGTTTTGTCAAAAAACTGTTTCTGGTAATATTTTTCCTTCAAAATTGTATTTCTGGTCATAATTTTTTTTCAAAAAAGTATTGCTTGTAACAGTTTGCCCATAGCTGAGATCCTAACAGGTGCTACCACCCCGGGTCAGGGTGAACATGGGAACACCAGCAATTAAGAGGTGGTTCCACGCTCCTCGAAACCTCCTGATCAGAGGCCTTGATGCTGGACGTAGTTTATCGTCTTACCCAGGACGATTATAAAAAGACAGCACGAATAAAGAAAAAACGAAAACTTTTTACCAAAGCATTTCATCTCTGATAGACTTTATCATGTCCATATATGTATATATATATATGTGTGTGTGTGTGTGTGTTCTCTAGCAATCAATGATGGTTTGAACCTTTTTGTCTTTCCATCAAGATCCTCATCTCATTAAAACATTCCGTCTCAACCCCCCACCCAGCCCCACTTTGCTTTGTTTCACTCTTTTATTCTCGTCTCACCAAATTCTACTCTCGCGTGATTTTTTCCGTCACTTCCCCCCCACCTCCACTACCGCCGCCACCACCAACAACAACAGCAGCCATATCGAATTGGTTGTGAATTCACAATTCGAGTATCTGCCCAAAAGAATTGACAAGAATAAGGCCAACATCCCCTTTCAAGGTATCTGTAAATAAGGCGAAAGTGTTATTCGATGTCGATGTGTTTTGCCCTGAGTCTTGCAAAGTCGACGAAAAATGAAGATTTTATAAGAAAATGTTTGATGCAGCAGAAAACTTCGGTGTTAGTTTTTGTTCTCCTTCCGCCAAATGCAGAAATCTCTCTCTCTCTCTCTCTCTCTCTCTCTCTCTCTCTCTCTCTCTCTCTCTCTTTCTCTTTCTCCTTCTCTCTCTCTTTCTCTCTCTCTTTCTCTTTCTCTTTCTCCCTCTCTCTCTCTCTCTTTCTCTCTTTCTCTCTCTCTCTCTCTCTCTCTCTCTTTCTCTTTCTCCTTCTCTCTCTCTTTCTCTCTCTCTTTCTCTTTCTCTTTCTCTTCTCTCTTTCTCTTTCTCTCTTTTCTCTCTCTCTTCTTTCTCTTTCTCTCCTTCTCTCTCTCTTTCTCTCTCTTTCTCTTTCTCTTTCTCCTCTCTCTCTCTTTCTCTTTCTCTCTCTTTTTTCTCTCTCTCTTTCTCTTTCTCTTCTCTCTCTTTTTGCTCTTTCTCTTTCTTTATTTTTTTTGTTTTCATTTTTTTGTCCTTTCTCTTTCTTCTCTCTCTACTTTTCTTTCATTACCCCGCCCTTTTTTCGGCTTTATCTTCACCTTTCTCTTTAATACTTTTTCTTCTCCATATTCTTTCTCAAAATCTCTAGTTTGCTAATTCATAGCATCTTTCTTTATTTTCTTTGTTTTCATTTTTTGTCTTCTTTCTATATATTTCTTTTCTCTCCACGCTTTTATTTTTCCTTTGTTCATTCTTTTACCTTTTTTAGCTAAATTCTTTCTTTCTTTCTTTTCCTTTCTTTCCTTTTCTCTCTTTCTTTCCTTCTTGCCTCCTTGTCTTTACTTCTTTCTTTTGCCTTTTCATTTTTCCTCCTTTCTCGAATTTTTCTTTCTTTTTCTTTCTTTCTTTCTTTCTTTCTTTCTTTCTTTCTTTCTTTCTTTCTTTCTTTACTTCTGTTTGCCTTTCTTATTTCTTTCTACCAAAATATATCTCAATATCATTTTCTCTACCACGCTTCTTATATTTTCCTTTGTTCATTCTGTTCCTTTATATTTTTTATATAAATTCTCATCAGTCTTTATCTCTATCTATCTCTCTCTCTATCTATCTATCTACCTTTCTATCTCAATCTGTTTATATCTATCTATCTATCTATCTATCTATCTATCTATCTATCTATCTATCTCACCCTGTTCATATCTATCTATCTATCTATGTAATCGATTTTCGTCATCTCTCTTCCCCCCTTTCTGTTATTTTCGATTTTTTTTCCTTTTTAGAAAGAAGTCTTCTGCGAAAAATAATAAAACCTTTTTTTTTTTTCATGTAGGCCTGCGCCTTTTTAATCTTTCATGGCCTTACTCAAATGCATTTTCCGTACATTTTTTTCTTTTTTTACTCCTTCATTTTTTTTTTTCTCCAAATCTTTTAAATTTATTTTTTTGTTTGTTTGGAATTCCTTCTCCAAAACAATGCAATGATTTATCTGCCATTTTTTTTCAAACGCGCTTAACAGCAAGGATCGGAAACTTAATTGTGGAAAATGTCGAATTCACGATTCGTTAATGTAACTTTTAAAACCTCACTTTCTCTTTCTCTCCTCCTCTTTCTCCCTTTCTCTCTTTCTCTTATCTATAGCCTTCTTCTCCCTTCCTCTTTCTCCCTTTCTCTCTTTCTCTTATCTATAGCCTTCTTCCTTCTTTTCTCCCTTATCTATCTCTTCTTTCCTCTCTCTTTTCTTATCTAATCCTTTCCTCCTCCTTTCTCTCTTTCTTTATCTATGCTCCTTCCTCTTCCCTAAAACTATAGCGTATTTCTCCCTCTCTCTTTCTCTCTCTCTCTCTCTCTCTCTCTCTCTCTCTATCTATCTATCTATCTATCTATCTCTTAATTAATCCTTTCCCTCTCGCTTATTTGTCTTTGCCTCTGTTCTCTGTTTTCTTCCTCTCTCCTCTCTCTCTCTCTCTCTCTCTATCTCTCTTTATCTTCCTCTCCCTCTCTTTATCCTCACTTCTCTACATCTCCCACACTTTTTCTCTCTCTCTCCTCTTCCCTTTCCTTCTCCTTTCTCTATGCTCATCTCTCTTCTCTCTCCCGGTCTCCTCTCTACATATCACTTTGCTTCTTCTTTTCTGCTCTCTCCTTTTTCCAATTCTCTCTCTCTACACACACACACACTCCCTCTCTATCTATCTATCTATCTATCTATCTATCTATCTATATATATATATATATATATATACACTCTCGCTCTTTATCTTCCTCTTCTCTCTCTACCTCCTATCTCCCTCTTTTCTCTCTACAAATGCATTCCCTCTCTTCTCACTTTTTTAACACTCTCTTCTCTCTCTCCATTCTCTCTCTACGATCTCTCTCTTTCTCTTCACTTTCTCCCTTCCATCAACCTTTTCTCCTCTCTACATCTTATTTCTCTCTCTCTTTCTCTTCTTACTTTCTTAACTCTCTCCATTCACTCTCTACATTCTCTCTCTACATTATCTTTATATCTCCCTTCTCTCTCTCTCCCTCTTACTCTTTTTTCTCTCATTCCTATCTCCCTTTCTTCTTTCTGCAACTTCTCTCTCTCTTTCTCTTCTCTGCCTCCCTCCTATCTCCCTTTCTCATCTCTGCAACTTTCTCTATCCTCACTTTCTTAACTCTCTTTCTCTATTCTCTCTCTACACTATCTCTATATCTCTCTCATCTCTCTCTCTCTTCCTCTTCTTTCTTTCTCTCTCCCTCCCTTCTATCGTCTTTTCTCCCTTCTGCAACTGTTTCTCTCTCTCTTGCTCTTCCTCCCTCCTATCTCCCTTTCTCATCTCTGTATTTCTCTTTTTTCTCTCCCACTCCTCACTTTCTCTCTCTACACTATCTCTATATCTCTCTCCTCTCTTTTCTTTCTTTCTCTCTTCCTCCCTTCTATCGTCCTTTCTCCCTTCTGCAACTGTTTCTCTCTCTCTCTCTCTCTTGTTCTTCCTCCCTCCTATCTCCCTTTCTCATTTCTGCAACTTCTTCTTTCTCTTTTTCTCTCTCTCCTCACTTTCTTAACTCTCTCTCTCTCTTTCTGCTTTTTTGTTTCTCCTCTTTCTCTCGGAAGCCATAACGCAAAACGGAAGGAAAAAGCTAGACGAAGTCGAAAGAAGCAATGTTTCCTCTTCCATTTTGTTCAATCGTAATATTTCGAAGCATCATCATCTGTCCAAAATTCTGCGATGACTCAATGCCATTATTCTACCATTCGTTCGGACAAATATTCCTATCCTTATGAGGATATTAGACCCCCCCCAAAAAAAAAACACAAGCAATGATGATCAATAAGACTAAACTAAAACAAGATGACCCACTGTTTCCTGTCATCGGGATCATTTTACAAATAATCCTCCAATCTATTCCTCTCCATCTTCCTTTTCCATTATCAACAAAAATACCCTAACCCCATCCATGCCATCGCTATCATTGAACTATAGTCATCGTTTTCTTGTTTTTATGCTCTTTACTAAGTTCTTACGGCTATGCTAACATAGTACCCGTCAAAAATGGCGTGATTATTTACGTATAAATCGGCATTTTTGCCGGGGATCTAAATGTCGCTTTCTGGTAAGTCTACCCAGGATCAAATCGTAGTAATTATTGTAACAACCATCTTGCACATCTAATATCAGTTTCTGCAGGCCGGAATAAAAGAGTCGAGGATGAGGATTGAAAAAAAAAGTCTCTTACACTCTCTCTTTCTCTTTCTCCCTCTCTCTCACTATCTCACACACACACATACATGCACACACGTCAATATTGGTAAAAATACTTTTTTTTTTGGTATCCGTTGCTCCCAGCTTATTTAATTTTATGAAAATTAGAGAAAGTCTTTTTTGTAGCACTTAATGTTTATATTAGTTTTAAGCAGAAGTCCTGGGAGAATTAAAATCCTCATTATTTTTTATATTTATGTTTTATCAAACATGACCATAGTAACAGAAAATTTGCTCCGAATTGTAAAATAAAATTAAAATAAAATTGGGACATTAATTAATTAGAAAATCTTTTAATTGCTTTTATGAATAAAATATATTATGTCCACACTAGTTTTTTATGATTTTTTTCGATAACTAAATAATTTTTACAAGAATTGTTTTCATTTTTTTAATTTAATTAGAATAATTTATAAACTTCTAAACATCTGTATTAATTTGTAGAGGTCAGTTGATATTGTTATTGAATTAAAAATGTATTTACTAATCATAAATGAAAAGGCTTAGCGATCTCCAGTATTTAAACACATCAAGACAATATTTAAAAACAGTTAAAAATCACGAAGAAATCTCTGCGGAGTCAAGCCTAACACAAAGGGGCAAATGACTAAGAACTGTGCGTACTCCGTCCCTTGCAGTTGTGGCAAAGAATAAACGGTAAAACCAGAAGTCGCCTAAACATAAAGTTTGTCATAATAACAAAGATTCAAAGTAATATTTATTCTTTTTCTTTTGCCGTCATTCTACCTTTCACCATTTCTCAGATTCTCAATTTTCGATGTTGGCCTTTGTGTACTCGAACAGGCACCAAACATAAACCCGTAGGTGGGGTATATAAATGCAGGCTATAAAAGAACAGTATCTATTCCACTTTTCAGCCATGTTGTTGTCTTTGGGGTATAATGCGTTCTCTTCTCCGGTAAATTTTATACGATAACACGTAACTATCCAGGGAGTTCCACTCTGCGGCTGCCTCACCAACATTGCGACAAAAACAGGACACTAATTGGGAGAATTCAACAATATTTGTCCTTTGACTATAGGTTTGTTTTTATTAATTATATTCAACCAATATAAGAAGTCACTCGAGGTACAGGGTTACTGTATGGAGTTGTATTAGTGTAAGAAAAAGTTCTTGAAGTTCTTAGGGGCTATGCAAGAAAGACAACGGCGAACTCTAGACTTGAAGAGGTCAAAATTTTATTAGTGAATAACATTTCAGAGTTCAATGGGAGACGTTAGAAGAATAGTGTGAAAGTAAAAATTAGAAGGAAACGGAAACACAATCCTAAACAAAAAACATAGGATAATCCTCTATTCCTGTTCAAAAGACCAATGAGGAGTGTCAGCCGAACGAATGGTGAATCTATACGTGTGTGGATGTGCATTTTTAAATAGGATACTTAAAAGTTATTTGTCTCAATGGCGCCTCGTAGCCTATTGGTTAAAGCACACTTGGCTTGAAAGTGGTTCTTTTGATGAAAAACTGGAATACAGATATGATTTCTGCCGAGAGGCACCTTTTTTTCTTTTAGGAAAAACTTCTCGATCTCTAGTCAGGCAGACATTAATTCCACTATATAAAAAGGTTTGCTTTGTTTTGGTTTACGGCATATCAACCTCAATGGGTTATTTAATGCCGACAAAATTTTTATTTTTTTTTTAAATTGTATTGCTGCTAATATTTTTTTCTTCAAAAATATATTGCTCGGAATATTTTTTTTCAAAAATATATTGCTGGTAATATATTTTTTCAAAAATGTATTGCTGGTAATATTTTTTTCAAAAATTCATTGTTAGCTATAATTTTTTACAAAATTGTACTGCTGGAATTAAAACCTATTTTTAAACTTTCATGGTGTTTTAACTCCAGTTTGTGGATTAATTATTTGCCCATAACTGGGACCCTAACAGGTGCTACCACTCTCGGTCATTGTTGACCTGGGAACACCAGCAATTAAGAGGCGGTTCCACGCTCGTCAAAACCTTCTGATCGAAGGCCTTGCTGTTCGATGTGGTTTATTGTCTTACCCAGGACGCGGATGTAGTTTATCGTCTTACCCAGAACAGACTATCTAAAAGGGACGTCTGCTCAAACACGTGTACCCAGTAAGTATATCGTTTATAGAAAGAATAAATATGGCGGAGTAAAAATCCATTAGTTGTTTATAAATAACTATCGCCATGGAACAATGGTTAATAAACTAGTCAAAGAAAACCTTTATAATCTCACTTGGTGGTCTATACTTGTGGCTTCATATCAGGTTAAGCAAAGCTGAAGAAAACTAAGAGTAGCATAATTGCTAACAATCAAGAAATGATGACAAGTGAATTTGATTCTCACAGAGTGCATCACATTTTTGCCTTGATAGATAGATAGATAGATAGATATGAACAGACTGAGATAGATAGATAGATAGATAGATAGATAGATAGATAGATAGATATGAACAGACTGAGATAGATAGATAGATATGAATAGGCTGAGATAGATAGATAGATAGATAGATAGATAGATAGATAGATAGATGGGAACTGTTATACAGGAATAAAATGCCGCTGCCGACACTTGAGTTTGAACATAGATCGCCAGTGAGCAAACACAGGCGATCCCATTACTGAATTAAATAAACCACGTGACTATAGAGGAAACGCATATATTGGAAGTCGTGTGATGTCTTAATGATCGCTATTTCTAGTCTATCCTCTATTACTATTTGGACCGCTTTTCTCTATTGTATTCACTATACTATTTCTCTATTCGGATCACTATACGGTGGTTACTATTCGAGCGAGTAGTATCGGGCAAGTACTATTAGCGTGAGTGTTATTCGAGCCATCTGACACCAGCATTGTTCAACGACGTACTATAGTTGTATCGGCGATTACAAAGTCTCTACTACAATGAGCATTACGAATCACAAAGGTAGCAACGAGTGTTTGTTGACATCACAAAATGAATAGACTGGATAGATAGATAGATAGATAGATAAATAGATAGATAGATAGATAGATAGATAGTCTTTAAAAGTCAGCATTTAACTAGGCCTCGATTACCAGCCAGAGACACCGGTTTGAAAGATCCAGTTAGCCGCCATATGGGGCTTAATTTTCTCATGGTGTTGGTTAAGAACAGATGCAAACACGAAGATGAAATGGTGTTCGGAAAATTACATATCGGTTAAATGCAAGAGAAGAGTGAAAATTTCACCAAAATATGCTCTAGAGAAATATGCTTATCTTCTGTGATGAAGACATTGGAATGTTTCAGCATGAGCAGAAAGTTAAGTTCACGGTACATGAGTTAAAACGTATAAACTGGAAGAATATACTTAAGGTATCTTTTCATTTTAGTGGTGCTCTTGATGATTTCAACATAACTCCTCTTCACCAAGAGCAAGCCATCCAATATTTATTCAGTGTTTTACAACTACTTCTTTGTAGTTCTTGCAAGATAAAGTGACCAACGTATATAAAATCAGTCACTTGATCATTTTTTTGGTCCAATTTAGTTGTATGGTAAGTCCAATTTATTTCAATGGTAAGTTGTAGCTAAGCCAAATTTATTTGAATGGTAAGATGCAGTTAGCTCCAATTTATTTGAATGCTAAGTTTTTGCTACGTCAATTTGAATTGTAAGTTGTAGCTATGTCAATTTGAATTGTAAGTTGTAGCTATGTCAATTTGAATTGTAAGTTGTAGCTATGTCCAATGTATTTGATTAATAAGTCGCATTTGTATGGTAATTTTCAGCGAATTCTAATTTATTTCAATGGTAAGTTTTAGCTAAATCCAATTTCTTTTGAATTTCTTTGAATGGTAAGTCGCATTTTAATGGTAAGTTGTAGTTAAGTCCAATTTCTTTATTTATGGTAAGTTTTAGCTAAGTCCAGTTTATTTCAATGGTAAGTTGCAGCTAAGTCAAATTTATTTGAATAGTAAGTTGTAATTATAAAACCCTTCTTATATTACAGCTATCACAATTGAAATTGAAAATGATTTTAATATAGAAAAAACTAAATGCTTCTAATGCCATTTAACAATAAAACCAGTTATTTCGGAGCAATCGAAAATATGTTTTCGTAGGTGTCCATTTATGCGTGTGTTAGGAAAGGAGAGTTTGACCTTGTTTCATATGTCTGAGTGTGTTTCCCTCCGTGTGTGCATTTCCATGCGTACACACTTTTTCGATTGCGTGTGGTATGTGTGTATGTGTAATAAAACTTGTGTGTGTGTACTTTCAAAATTCACTCTCTCGTGGCTCTGTGGTTTTCCTACCTGCGTACGGTTGTATAAAATTATTCCAAAGTAACTTTTCTATGTTTTCTCTCTCTCTCTCTCTCTCTCTCTCTCTCTCTCTCTCTGTGTGTGTGTGTGTGTGTGTGTGTGTGTGTGTGTGTGTGTGTGTGTGTGATTCTGGGTGTACGTGCATAGGGACGCGATATTTAAGAATGAGAGGAAAGCATGGATCCTCGGGAGAGCAGGGAGAAAGAGCGTGAGTTCTCGTGGGAGCAGGGTAGGAGAGTAAGGATTCTCGGGAGAGAAAGGAGAGAGAGCTGGGACTGGGACAAGTTAAGTAGAATTACACACCCCGACACACGTACACTTGGTATCAAAATGAAACAATGCGACCTATATTTGAAAAAAAAATGCAAATTTGGAAGAGGACATTTATTTGACAATTCCTTCTAAAGACGGTGGAATGATATGAACGGCTGTTCTTTGCAGTCTCTATGTTTCTTGTACGTTGGACTTAATAGTTTTACAGGATTATTCACATACATATATATATATATATATATATATATATATATATATATATATATATATATATATATATATATATATAGTTGTGTGTGTGTTTTAAAAGGTCCTTCGATATATGAATATAATTATGTGCTTGTCCAAAAGTGTATTTATAAATATGATGACGATGACTACGGTTCGATTACGACCAGTGTCATCACTTGGCATAACTCTGACGTACATCAAAAACACCGCTTCCTTTCAGATCACCAAAGTTAAGCAACGTTGAGCCTGGCCAGTACCTAGATGGGTAACCGCTTGGGAATACCAAGGGTTGTTACCTGGGATGTGCGGATGGCATGCCTTACGATCATATCAAGTTGAAACACCGGTTCTCGTGCGATCACCGAAGTTAAGCAACAATGAGCCTGGTCAGTAGCTAGATGGGTGAACCCTTGTGATTACTAAGTCCTGTTAGCTTGGATATGTGGATGGTGTGGCTTACGGCCATATCACATTGAAATAAGCAACTTCACCTAGATGAGTGACTACTTGGGAATAACAATTGCTATCAACTTGGACGTGCGGTGAGTGTATTTGCTAATTGCTCAGAACGAGATGTTGGTGACCCGAGTTCGATTTCCAGTTGAGGTCATGAAATGAATCCTACTCTGGACAGACTGGATCCTATCACTTTATTTGGAAATCAGTCTAGCGCAGCTTTAAAGTAACCTACTGCTGGAATTCTTCTGCCAAATCAATCCGGAATCAAAAAGATACATGATCAGCCATGCGTGCATCACGTGAGGCATCTAAGGAAGTAAGCAAGATTTTTACTTTCTGCCGTGTGGATGTCGTAACGTTGGGCGTCTTTTACAATAGATGTCAAATTAATATATTGCTCAACTTTGATTACATACATTGATTAATATATATATATATATATATGTGTGTGTGTGTGTGTGTGTGTGTGTGTGTGTGTGTGTGTGTGTGTGTGTATTCAAATAAGAGAAAGTGAATTCGCCATTTTATCTCATTAACTTTACTAATTTACGTTTTGTATGAATGATTCATTGTAATATAAATTAAACTACACCACATATTTGATATATATACATACATACATACATATATATATATATATATATATATATATATATATATATATATATATATATATATATGTATTGAGGCCGCATATATAGATATAAATATAGATATATGATATATGTGTGTGTGAGTTTTTGTGTGTATAAGACATCAATAGCTTGATATGTAGTTAACTGAATTTTGATCTGAGCTTTTAAGTGCATAATGCTCAATTTATGCAATTAATTTTCACTGCTGAATTAAGTGCATTGACAAGGAAAGTAATTACTGCAAAAATATCTTAGTTGCGTGAAATAAACGTTTCTTTCATTGTTACTCTATGAATGTACATATAGTAATATATATATATATATATTGTATATATGGAATATTGTACCTGGAACGCTGGTGTTAATAAAATAGTGCTCGATGTAATAAAACAGAGCTATTTTAGTATATATTGATAGATACATTATTCCTCACCGGTAGTACGGCCCGTCTATTTTAAATAATTTTTTAAATCTTTATTTTTTGTTGTTTTTTTAGATTTCTGTACATTTATTTTAAAACATTTTTTAAATGGCATTAATCCCCATTCATTTTAAATATAAATTAAAATCATTAATCTCCGTCAATTTTAAATATAAAATATAAATCCGTCTATTTTATATATATATATATATATATATATATATATATATATATATATATATATATATATATATATATATATAAATTATTAGGAGGATTAGAATTAATTAAATATAATTATCAAATCCTCCTAATAATTTCTATCTGTGTATATCATTGCTTGAACCAGCTTCTAATACTCTTGAGTGAGCGGCCGGGTGAAGGTAGTCGTGGCTCCAGGAGGCACAGTCCTATGGTTACAGAGAACTCAGTAGACTTTTACTCAGATCATTAATGTAAAACAAAGTTGGATCGAGAAGCGAACCTTAAGGGACACCTGTATTTATCTCATGGACCTCGCAGGACTGGCCGTCAAAATCTACCTTCATTGGCGTATCCGTTAGGAAAACTTGATAATTGAGAAGACACTTCCAGTGATTCCATAGCTGAAGTGTTTGTGTAGCAATCCTCTGGGCCATATCTTATTAAAGGCCGTCCTTGAGATATGTTCATTGTCTTAACTGATTCTGTAAGTAGTGATAGTTAGGATATCCATATTGTTTGTCGCTTAAGAGGTTGTCCCTACTGCATTTATTGCCATTAAATGTGTGGCTACAATTTTGGAGACAGCCTACAGCTATATAGTGTTATGGTCCGGTTCCTTGTACCATGGTGATAGTCCAAGGTAGAACCAATAAAGAAGAACTCAAGTACGGATATGGAATAACACAGATATATTACAAACAGGAATATATACAGAGAGGTAGAAAAGTGTTAGTACGAACAATCAGGTTTAGTAGTAATTATTGTCTGAACACGACTCTGTTTCGGACTGCCTCTGACTCGACTGACTGACTCGCTTGCTCTGATTGACTGACAGACTCCTGACGGACTTCACTCCAGACTTCAGACGGAACTCCAGACTTCAGACGGAACTTCAGACTCCAGACGGAACTCTCCGCTTCCTCTTGAGGCGCAGTTTTTATTACGTATGGAATAGTCCATTATGTTATTATGGGTAAGGTACCATAACATATAGTAAATGCCAATGTCAGTGTGTCACACTTTTTCAATTAAAGGGACGCAACTCTCCAACTTCTAATAGCTCTTCTATATAATAAATGAGAATGTCAATGTGTCACTGTGTCAGACTTTTTCAACGTTTCTCCTCGGAATCAGACTGACTCCGCAAGTAAATTAAAGACATTCGGTGCCGGATCTGGACCTGCAATCCTGAAATTTTAGATTCCCAATTTTACCTTACTGCAATTGTTTTTGTCGATTTTTTACATGTATTTTTTTTTTTTGCGACGAATCTTATTGTACGATAACAATTTTTATAAATTGGAAATAAATTTTGGAATAATCGAAATTAATTGCGAAATCTAGCGAAAGTCACCCATGAAATAAAAATAATTGTTTGTATGGTAAGTAAAGACCTACGTACATCAAATTGTCTTTAAATCAAGTGGCGACTATCGTCGAACTTTTAAAAGGTAAGCTTAGATATTAATGCATTACTTAAATGAAGGGATCAATTTTAAGTTCTTCTGTAGTTTATTGTTGCCTATTGCATCTATTCCTCCCTATTTATTATTGTGATGAAGGACCAATCAGGAGACCTCTGAAGAAGCTAGCTTAAATTCCACCCGATAGTGCGCCTTTTAAGTTATATGTAGATGGTGCGAAGGATAAAATGACATCTAAATTATGCAAAAATGAAAATAATATTGACATTATATTTTAACAGATATACTTACCAAAAATATCTTAAAGTACTAACGTGTAAATTTATTCAATAAAATCACCATTGGCTTCAACCACAACTTCAAATTTCCTGCAACTCCCCTGGACGATGCCATACTCCTTGCCTTCAGTTTATCTTTGGTATAATAAGGAGTTTTTGGGGTTTTTTTTTTTTTGGTCTCTCGCTCAACTGCGCTGCACAAATAATAATCAAGAGGGTTGGAGTCTGGGTAGTTAGGTGGCCAGATATAAAGGGTGATGTGGTCACAGAAATTGTCTGACAGCCATGACTGAGTTCCGCTGCTTGTGTGGCATGGTGCAGAATCATGTTTTCAGGCATAGGGTCTTCCAGCAGCCATTCTCTTGACTCAGGGCAGCACTACCTCCTCGAAGCACTTCATGTACGCTTCTGAGTTGAGACCATGTGGGAAGATGAATGGAAGCATAACGTCGCCATATTTAGTGCTCATTTTTTGCCCCCAAAATTGTACGATAATTGTATTATATATATATATATATATATATATATATATATGAAGAAATATAGTCTTAAGGTGTGCTATATTTATGGGATAAAGTGCTCAGTATTTTATTTTTGGTTTCTTATATTATTTATTTATTTATATAATTAGTTTTCATCAGTGTTTTTATTAACGTAGTAAATATTTGTTTATATCACTTATTTAATAGTTTTGTTTTGGTTTGAGAATTTAATTAAAGCTATTTGTTTGGTTTTGGGGTTGATTGTTGTAGTTTATTCTAACTATTATTTTGGCAGGAACCGTTTTTAATTTGTATTTATTTGGGTTGATTATCTTTATTTGTTTTTTCTAACGGTAACTTTATCGGGATTGGTTTGTTTATTTACTTGGATGTTTATTTACTTTATATATATATATATATATATATATATGTGTGTGTGTGTGTGTGTGTGTGTGTGTGTGTGTGTGTGTGTGTGTGTGTGTGTTTTCCATTAGATGAGATGGAGAAGGAACGTTTTGTAAGTTTTTATTCAGTTTTTTTAGTGCTTTTACTTTGTGTTTTTTCCCCTATTATGGAGACAATAGAGAGTAGAAACTGCCCGTCGGGGTTATTGCACCAATTGCTTTCTGCCAATTCATTAGTCATTTTCAAGGGATGCACTCTTAGCATATTTTTCTACGTTTATATTCTAATCTGTGTTGCATAGAAGTGTTAAATACATTAGTGTTGGACAACTGAAAAACTGAATAGAAATTTCATTGTCCGGCACATTTAAGTAAACATGTATAAAAGAAAGATTACTACCAAAACTAAGAAGAGATTCATAATCATGCACAGTTCTATTTGCCTCTGAAGCACATTCAGATTGTCTCGAAAGGCCTATCTGCTCAGTTTCGTATCCGAAATGTAAACAAAACAATTCCTAAAGAATTAATAGATTTTCTTTTTTGAACCGACATATTTTTATTACTTCATATATTTATATATACATATATATATATATATATATATATATATATATATAGAGAGAGAGAGAGAGAGAGAGAGTGAGTGAGTGAGTGAGAGAGAGAGAATTAATATGAAATTTTTTTTTCACGAAACTTCAAAGTAAACATGAGGTAAGTGAGAAAGAAAACTTCGATATTGAGCACTCTACCACAAAACCTGCTTGCTTTAAATGCCCGTTTATTAACAAAGCACTGGAAAAAACACCAATTCCGGCTTCAAAACCATTCTTTCTAATTAACAATATATATATATATATAAATACATATATATACATAAATATATATATATATATATATATATATATATATATATATATATATATATATATATATATATATATATATATTATGCATTAGACATCCGTCAACATTCTTTTCTCTTATTTAAACCCCTCCTCCCATATCTCCTAAAATTCTCTCTGTTAAGGTTTAATCTCCCTCCTCCTCATACTTACACTCTCTCTAAATTCTGTTTTTATTTCCGGATTTGGTTTTTTTCTGTTTTATTTTGAATTTGTAG